TCAAGAGATCCTCCCGCCTCAGCCTCTAGGGTAGCTGGGACTGTAGGCGTGTGCCACCGCATGCCACCGCATCTGGCTCTAGGTCTTATAATTTCTGTCCTTGGCCACCCACTTGCTGATCCCAAGGTCAAGGATGGCAGGATGAAGGAAGGTCCCACATTCGGGGACCTGCAGGACCGGCTGCAGCAGAAAGGCCTAGTTTAATGAGTAGCACGGGCGGGCCTGAAGACCGAGAGGTGACGTGGGCACACATGGGGCTCGGGCCTCTCTCTGATGAGCACTTGCCCTCACTGGAAGCAGAGACAAGACCCTGCTGGGCCCTCTGTTTTGTTTTGTTTTGTTTTGTTTTCTGAGACAGAGTTTCGCTCTTGTTGCCCAGGCTGGAATGCAATGATGCAATCTTGGCCCACTGCAGCCCCCACCTCCCAGGTGCAAGTGATTCTCCTGCCTCAGCCTCCCAAGCAGCTGGAATTACAGCCACACACCACCACGCCTGGCTAATTTTGTATTTTCAGTAGAGACGGGGTTTCTTTATGTTGGCCAGGCTGGTCTCGAACTCCTGACCTCAGGTGATCTGCCCTCCTCGGCCTCCCAAAGTGCTGGGATTACAGGCATGAGCCACTGCTCCCGGCCATGGGCCCTCTGATTAGGAACCCAAGAGCCCCTTCCTGGGAACAGAAAGACAACTGGGCACCTGCTGAGGCACGCCCACTTGCCAAGCTGCCCTGGGATCCCTGGGCAGAGCGTCATCACTGGAGAACATAATTCCACAAGAAGTATTTGTCACGGTCCTGCCAGGGCCCTGGGCAGGAGCAGAGGTGCTGTGTGCTGCCATGCATTCCTGGTCAGGTAGGTGACTGACACGAACAAGACGCCAGCAGTCCTGAGAGTCAGGTGCCTTCCTGGACCCCTTGGTGAGCGGAGGTGAGTTGCCACCAAGGAGGGAAGATTCAGGAAGATAACTCCAAGGTCCTCAATCCATTCACCAGTCAGTGGATGGCACACCTAATGCATGGGCACTGATTAGGTTTGCCAGCCCATGCTGGGTGCTGGCGTCAGTGTCCTTCATCTCTTGCCAAGGGGAGAGGATCTCGAATGAACTGCTGGGACCATGATCCCATTTTGCTGGGGAGGAAACAGATTAGGGAGGAAGAGAACCTTGCTGGTGAGCAGTAAAACCAGGATTGGAACCTGCACTGCTAAGGTCTCTGCCTCCCTCTAGGAGCCACCCTGGCTGTGTGTACCCCAGGTGTGTGTGGAGTCAGCCGGGGGCAGTGCTGTTGGGCCGCCAGGCATTGCCCAGCCTCCTCCTCTTCTGCACTTGGAAGAATTCCAGTTGTTTTTCAGCCTCTCTCTTCCTCCAGGAAGCCTTGCGTGATAGCCCTACCCCTCTGCCAAGACACACACCCTCTTCTCCCTTTTTCCTTGGAACCTGTCTTATCTCACAGTTGCCTTTGTCATCGGTCACTGGCCAGCGTCCCTCACTGGGTTTCAGGCTCCCGGAGGGAAAGACCTGAGTCTTTCATTCTCAGGATCCCTAGCAGGGGGCTTAGGGCATCATGGGCATTCAGGAAATAACTGGAGAAACGTGGCTGAGGAAACAGCAGGGGGTGGAGAGGGAATTGCTTCTGAAGGTGAGAAGTGAACCTAGAGGGATGAGCCCCAGGAGGGCCTTGAAAGCCAGGCAGAGGGATGGGATCAGATACTAACATCCATAGGGAGCCCTGGCAGGTCCTTGAGCAGGGGCATGGCAGGGCAAGCCTTCCTTTAGTCCAGGGCGAGCCTGCGCCAACCTGTCCCGCAGAGGAGAAGGGCATGGGGGACAGCTACTCCCTCTGGCAGTTCCTCCAGCTCGGCTGCCCTCAGCCAGAGCTCAGGAGTCACACTCCCCGGGAACCTGGAGTTTTGGGTTCAATCTTTATTCAGTAAATGGCTTATTGGGCACCGACAGGGTGGCTAGAGCCTGCCTGGTGTTGGGGTTAGGGGACCCTGCCTAGGGGTTTGGGCTCTGTGGGTACGTGAGGGCCACCCCACAGTGGTGCTGGCGCTCCCCATCCTACCCTGGGCTCAGTGCCTCTGCCACACTCCCCCTGCCCACTCTGGAAGCCAGGCCCCCTGGTGCTGGGGGAGGCACTGGCTTGGGGAGGAGCCCCTGGCTGGTCCTTCCAGAAGACAGAGTCTGTGGGGTGGGCCTCCAGTGGGGTGGGGTGGGGTGGGTCTCCACAGCCCTGCCGGGCCCCACACGGGCAGCTGTTCCCAGAATAGGGGTTTGAAACTTTTCTTTTGTTGGCGAATCTGCATGTGGTCTTAATTATTTATATGCAGTACTTATCTCCTCCAAATGTTTTATCGGGATTCGGCAGATCGAGTGTGCAGGCAGCGGGTGTGGGGCCGGGGCAGGGATATTATGGGAGCACAGGGAGGCCCCGGAAGTTGGGGTGTCCCCCAAATCAGCTGGATGACCCAGAGGAAGGAAAGACCCTGGTTAAGGACAGTCAGGTTAACTCTTTCAGGCCCTGCCCAACGCTGCAAAATCGCACCCGGGTGTTTGGCCTGGGCAGGCCTTCCGCAACTTTGTGGGGTCTGGCCTGTGCTGATGTCCCCCGTGCCCCACAGGACTCTGGTGGACTGGAGGGAGGGTAGGGAGCCACATCTCTCAGCAGCAACCCAGGACTTAAGAAGGGCCACTGCCCTTTTCTGGTGGGGGTGAAGGAGGAACCAGCGTGACTAGGAATCCATCACCTATTAACTTCCCGTGTATCACCTGATCTCCTTCGGCGCCCACCACCCTGGAAGTGGGCTTATCTGGCCCATATTGAGAAGAGGAAACCAGAGTGAGAGGAGTCACTGATCTGAGGACCTCCAGCACAGCAGGGAGGGGCCCAGGTGGGGGGCGGGCGGGTGGGCTTTTGGGACAGCATCCCAAGAGAAAGGAACAAAAGCAGGGGGCGTGGCTCTCCTCACCCCCCCCCCCCCCCGCCGCCGTCCCCCCTCACTCCCCCGCAGCCATCCCTGCTTGGCCAGGGCCTTTTGGGCAGTGCCACTGGAGATTCCTGGAAGTGCCTTCGGGCCACACACACACACACATCCTCCGGGGCCCTCCCAGCCCCCCACTCTGTGCCTCCCTGGTTTGCAGGAGGGCTCCAAGGCCAGCCCGGAGCCCTGCAGGACCAGGGAGGAACCCGAGCCTGGAGGGCCTAGGAGCCAGCCGTGTCTGCTTTCATGTGCCCCGTGTTCCCTTGGCCTGATCGCCGATCCCGTGCATCCTGCACCCAGTAGGCGCTCCGGGGCCGGGGCTGAGTCAGCTGCGAGGGCTTCAGCAAGGCGTCGCAGAGGGTCCCCATGGGAGGTTTAGTGCAGCGCACTTGCACTGGCATGGGACGCTGGGCAGGGCTGATCCCAGCTACCAAGGAGCCTTCCTGGGCAGAGAGCAGGCAGGGGGGCATTGGGATTTGGAGGGGCACCTGGGAGCCCCCTGTCCCTTCCGGGCCGCCTCCCCTTACCCTCATTTCCCTTGCAGGGAGGGCTGTGCAGGTTTGTGGTGGGGTGGGGAGGACTTCCTAGAATTTGTTGCTTTGTTTGGAATCTTCCCTGTTGGGGTGGGGTTGGGGTGAGCTCTTGCCCACCCCGCCCACCGCCCGCCGCCGGAATCCCGGGCTCCCTCTGGTGGGTTGTGTTGGGGTCGGGAGCTTCAATTATGGCATCCCCTGAATTCACTCCAGGCTTTGAAGCCAGGCTCGCTCCACATGAAAAGCTCTTCCAAGAGGGAGATTCCCTGGAGCTCCTGGGCCTCCGCCGGGTAATTGGTGCTTGGATTAACAGCTCGGGTGCAAGGGGCACTTCAGTGGGGGGGCGGGGCGGCTGAGTGAGGGGCCCAGCCCTGGGGAGATGTTACAGGAGGGAGGACAGGAAGGGAGGCGGGGAGGTTGGTAATTCCAGATTGAGGAGGGTCTCCGTAGCTCTCGGAGTGGGTGAAGACCCCTGGGAGGCAAATGTGGGGTCCCCCAGGGCCTGCTGGGCCCCCTTGGGCCCCTGGAACAATGGGTTCCCACTAGCCAACCTGTTCCCACAGCCAGAAGTTGCCATGGTGACCCCCTCCCACCTTCAGCTACAGCTTTTCCAGTAAAACCACTGCAGAAATCCATACTTCCCGACAGGCACGCCCGGCCCCCCACCCCCCACTCTGCGCGGTCTTGGAGCCTCGGGGAGTTAACTCTGCGCATGCTGGTGTCTGTTGTTTGGGGGAGACAGGAACGAGAGCTGGCAAAGCGGGCCCCAGGCTGGAGAGGACAGGGTGGACCGGGGGCACAACCAGCTGCCCTGTCCTTGAAGGCCCCAGTGAGTGACTTGAGCAACTCCGGGAAGTTGGAGCGGAGCAGTGAAGCTAGCTCTGACCTAGGGGCCCCCTTGGCATAGAGGAGCCCTAGCTGGGGCCCACAGTGCGGCTCCTCTTGGAACCTGAGGGCTGCTCTGGGACTTCACCCCTTCTAGAGTGACCCCTGCTGCAGTCGCTGGGACACGAGACCCTTCCCGGCTTGGCTGCAGCTGCTACCCTGTTAGCTGCTCCCCTCTTCCTCCCCTCCCCTCCCAGCACAAACCTTTTTCCTGCAGGCAGAGGGGGCTGAGCCCCAGGTCCCTGTGGCCCTGCTGCCGGCACCTGGAGCCCGGCTCTGCATCCACGGGTCTGCCCTAGGGGGCTGTTGAACTCCAGAAGTCGCTGCCTGCTCAGGGTCTCCGTGTCCTCCCCCTGAGCAGTGGGGATAATGATCTGAGCTGCTTCCAAGCTTGGGGAAGAGGATCCCCCCCTAGAAGGTTCTGTCCTGCTGCCTCTGCCGGGGGGAGGGGCCCCTGGGGACACCCGAGGCTGCAGGGGCCCAGGGGGCTCTGTGGCCCAGGCCCAGCCTCACTCTGTAGCGAGAGCGAGCGAGGAGATGCTCTAATTGTTCTCTCTGTAGCCCAGGATGAATAATTGAGAGGTCTTTGAAGAGAATTAATTAGCCAGCTTATTGACTGTAAACGCTTTGCTGCAGATGATAAAGGGAGGATGGAAGCCTGCGTGGGGCCCGCTTGCCGGCTGGGGCCGTACCAGACATTTAATTCACACCCATGGCTGCTCAGCAAGACCAGGGGCTCGGCCTTTGCCTAGGACCCGCTCTCTCCTGCTCAGGAGGAAGTGTGGGGGCTGAGCCCCAACTTGGCACCCTGCCATGGTTCTGTCCTGATTTCTGGTATGAGGGGGCAGCACCCCTTAGCCTCAACTCTGCTCCCTCTATCTTCTAAGAGGCAAGATGGGGACCCCTCCGGGAGTGGGGGTGGGTGTGGCTCAGTCTTGGGAGCAGTTCCCTTGCAGGATAGACTCTGGTCCTGGGCTCCTTCAGTCCAGCCCACCCCACCGCCTGAACCCCAGTCCCTTTTCCGGAACTAGGAAGTAACAGGAAAAGACAAAAGCATTCTTGCCTGTAGGCTGCAGGGGGTCAGACCTGTCAATGTCCCTGGTGAGGCTGAGGAGGGCTGGGGCTCTTGGCAGGAAATGCCGGATCACTAGCCCCGGGTATCAGTCATTAATAATAGTAGTAAACTTCCCTCCAGCAGGCCCTGTGCTAAGCACACTGCATGCACTGACTCCTGTAGACCCTGTAAAGGCAGAGGGTGGGCTTGTTCTGCAGCTGGGTCTGCAGAGCCTCAGGGCAGAACCTGGCACAGATAAAGCTTTGTTGATTGAATGAATGAGTGAATGAAGGAAATGAACATGAAGAAGCTGAGTGGCAAAGCTGGACTCATGCATCGGGTTTGTTTGTTTTTTGAGACAGATTCTCTCTCAGTGGCCCAGGCTGGAGTGCAATGGTACGATCTTGGTTCACTGCAGCCTCCACCTCCCAGGCTCAAGCGATTCTCCTGCCTTAGCCTCCCGAGTAGCTGGGATTATAGGCACGTGACACCACACCTGGCTAATTTTTGTATTTTTAGTAGAGATGGGGTTTCACCATGTTGGCCAAGCTGGTCTTAAGCTCCTGACCTTAGGTGATCCACCCACCTCAGCCTCCCAAAGTGCTGGGATTATAGGCATGAGCCGCCGCACCTGGCCTCACACACCGTTTTTAACCTGGCCCGAGGACCCATATGCTGATACATCCTCCAGTCCCAGGCAACGTCAACATGGAAGATGTGGGCAAGAGGCAAACAGCCATAGAGGGCTTGGGCCACATGGAGGATGAGCAGGAGGTGGGGCCCTGAGAGCAGGCCTAGGGTTTAGCCCTGCCTCTGCAGCGAAGAGAGAGGGCAGGTGCAAGCAGGCATGGTGCAACCATGGGGGACATGGGCGGGGCAGGGGGTACCTGGGTGGAGCTGGTTGCAGACCATTGCTCTTGGTCCAGATAAGGCATGACAAGACCTGGGCCGAGACCCCTGAAATGGGGCATGGAGAGTCTGTGACAGCTCTGAGATATGTGGAGGGGAAGGGGAATGGAACCTGGTGACTTGTGACCTGGGGAATGGAGGACAGGAGTTGAGATGACTCCAGGTATCTCCCAACAGGAGCATGTGTATCTGCAAATGAGGCAGAGGTCAGGAAGTACAGGGAACTCGCCCTTGCCCCGGGGGCCTAGGATGCCCTGGGCTGTCATCCTTCCACACTCACCCCTGACCTGCTCCTGCTCGCTCAGGGAGGCTGCCTGACAGGGGCGTATCAGTGGGCTCCCTCATCCTCTGCCTCTGTGGAGCCCACAGTAGGAGGCACCTGTAGAACATGGGGGTGAGGGACAGTGCAGTTGGAGGCGTGGGTGTTCCTCTGTCTGCCTCCCTCACAGCCCTCTCCATGCCTGTCTGTCCAGGGCTGGGATTGGTCGGCATGCCTTTCCCCAGCCCTCCAGCTGTCCTAGAGTTGGGCTGGGGTAACCCTCCAGCCGCCCTGTGAGTTGTGCTGGGATCAGTCAGGTGTACTCGGCATGCCTCGCCCCAGCCCCCCAGCCGCCCTGTGAGTTGGGGTTGCCTGTCTCACTGGCTTTCTGTTCTCAGCTGACTTAGCTGGGACGTCGACAACTCCCCATGTCACCGCCTGCATCTGCCAGACTCCATCTGGCTGCAGACACCCGTGGCCTCATCTGAGTCCTCTTCTCAGCCTCTGGGAACCGCTCCTTCCTACCCTTTGCCTAGAGACAGTGGAAGCCGAGGGACATTTCTCCGAATGGCTTTTGCTTGGCTCCAGAAATCAGAACTGGAATGAGGACGAGGAACCAGTCTCCCTCCAGGTGGCTAAAGCTGGGCACGTGGAACCTGGGAGCAGTGGGCAGCCACACTGGTGCCCTTCAGACAGCAGGAGGAGGCTCTTGTCCGAAACCCTGAGTTCAAAACAGATGGGACGTGGGGGAACAGCAGGAGGTAGGAGCAGGCCCCCGACTCCTGCCGAGAGCTCAGCCCTGTCTTCAGCCCCTCCTGCATTCCTGCCAGTGGTACACATTTGCCCTTTTGGTTGCCTGGTGTCAAATACCCTTTCTACGTTGGAGGTAGGGTCCTGGGAGTCCCTGCTCTCTTTCCCAGGCTCTGAAAACTGACTCCTGGGAATGGGACCAAAGTGATCACATTAAATGCTTCTACCTGAATGTTTAATGTTGAAGATGAGATGCCAAGTTCAAGAGTAATTTAGGGGCAGGTGTGGTGGCTCACACCTGTAACCCCAGCATTTTGGGAGGCCGAGGTGGGTGGATCACTTGAGGCCAGGAGTTTGAGAGACCAGCCTGGCCAACATGGTGAAACCTTGTCTCTACTGAAAATGCAAAAATTAGTCAGGTGTGGTGGTGTGCACCTATAATCCCAGCTACTCGGGAGGCCGAGACAGGAGAATCACTTGAACCCTGGAGGCGGAGGTTGCAATGAGCCAAGATCACGTCACTGCACTCCAGCCTGGGTGACACAGCAAGACTCTCAAAAAAAAAAAAAAAAAAGATTAATTTAGGATTGTTCCTAAGAATTGTGGCAGAGCCAGACAGCAGTGTGTCACAGCACACAGTGAGTATCCAGCCTCGATACCCTATGCAGGCCATTCTGTGCTAATGATTACACCCACTCAATTCCTTTTCTACCTGGGTTAACCAGAGTGCCACTGTCAGTCACAATACTGACTAGTGGCTTCTCTTGGGTTTCATGAGAAACTCCCTGTATCAGTTAGTGATTGCCATAATCAGGCTGTGTAACAAGCAGCCCCACAATCCTGGCGGCATTCTACAATAAGCATTTGTTTCTTTGCTCACATCTCTGTGGGTCTGTTGGGGTTCATCAGATCCAGGCTTGAATTAGCTGGCTGGCATCTGGGCTGTGAATTGGGTCAAGGTTTGCTTCACATGTTTCTTATCAACCTCGGCCCAGCAGGCTACCTGAGGCGTGTTCCTTCCAGGATGACTTCAGCAGCGCAAGAGAGCAAGTTCATTGTGCAAGCACAGTTCAAGTCTACTCACTCCATATCCCCTGACATTGCACTGATCAAGTCCCATAGCCATGCCCACATCAAGGATATGAATGCATAATTCTACTACAAGGGAGTGAAGAAGCAGGACTGATCATTCCATTCTCCCCTTGTTTTTAGTTTTTATTATGAAAAAAAAAAATTTTTTTTTTGAGACCAAGTCTTATTCTGTCACCCAGGCTGGCTGAAGTGCAGTGGTGTGATCTCAGCTTGCTGCAACCTCCACCTCTTCAGTTCAAGCAGTTCTCTTGCTTCAGCCCCCCTGAGTAGCTGGGACTACAGGCTTCTGCCATCACACCCAGCTAATTTTTGTATTTTTAGTAGATATGGGGTTTCGCCATGTTGGCCAAGCTGGTCTCAAACTCCTGACCTCAGGTGATCTGCCCACCTCGGCCTCCTAAAGTGCTGGGATTACAGGCCTGAGCCTCTGTGCCCAGCCTATGAAAATATTTTTTAAAAATAGGCAGAAGGGGCCAGGCGTGGTGGCTCACACCTGTAATCCCAGCACATTGGGAGGCAGAGGCCGGCGGATCACGGGATCAGGAGATTGAGACCATCCTGGCTAAAGCAGTGAAACCCCATCTCTACTAAAAAATTTTTTTAAAAATTAGCCGGGCGTGGTGGCGGGCGCCTGTAGTCCCAGCTACTCGGGAGGCTGAGGCAGGAGAATGGCATGAACCGGGGAGGCGGAGATTGCAGTGACCTGAGACTGCGCCACTGCACTCCAGCCTGGGCGACAGAGCAAGACTCCATCTCAAAAAATAAATAAATAAATAAATAAAAATAGGCAGAAGGGCATAATGAATCCCCACAGAACATCACCCAGATTCCACATGGGAAAATTATTATTTTCCCATGTTTGTCTAACCTGTTTTTTTTTCCTTGGTAAAGTGTATTTTTTAAACTAATTTTGCCCATCTGTAAAATAAATAATTTATGTATATAAAGATATATATATATAAATATATACACACATAACAAAATTTACCATTTTAACCATTTTCAAGTGTATAATTCAGTGGCATTAATTACCACTGTTACACAATCACTCTCCAGCTCCCGAACATTCTAATCTTCCCAAACTGAAACTGTCCCATTAACACTAGCTCCCCATTTCCCTGAACCCCCAGCCCCTGGCAACCTCCATTCTATTTTCTGTCTCTACAAATCTAACAATCTCACGTGAGTGGAATCACACGATATGTGTCTTTGTGTGACTGGCTGATTTCACTCAGTGTGATGTCTTCAAGCTTCATCCATGTGATAGAATTTCCTTCCTTTTTAAAGGCTGAATAATATTCCACCGTATGGATGGACCACAGTTTATCCATTCATGCGTCCGTGGACACTAGGGTTGCTTCTATCTTTTGGCTATTGCAAATGAATAATGCTGCTATGAACGCGGGTGAACATATATCTCTCTGAGTCCCTGCTTTTAATTCTTTTGGGGATAGACAGAGGAGTGGAAGTGCTGGGTTATACGCTAATTCTATGTTTCACTTTTTGGGGATCTCACCGCACTGTTTTCCACAGCAACTCTACCATTTTACATTCCCACCAAAATTGAGTGCACAGGGCCAAGTGCCGTGACTCACGCCTGTAATCCCAGCACTTTGGGAGGCCGAGGCTGATGGATCACTTGAGGTCAGGAGTTTGAGACCAGCCTGGCCAACATGGTGAAACCCTGTCTCTACTAAAAATATAAAAATTAGTCGGGCCGTGGTGGTGCATGCCTGTAATCCCAGCACTTTGGGAGGCCGAGGCAGGTGGCTCACTTGAGGTCAGGAGTTTGAGACCAGCCTGGCCAACATGGTGAAACCCCGACTCTACTAAAAATACAAAAATCAGTCGGGCTTGGTGGCGCGTGCCTATAATTCCAGCTACTTGGGAGGCTGAGGCACGAGAATCGTTTGAATCCGGGAGGTGGAGGTTGTGGTGAGCCGAGATAGCGCCACTGCACTCCAGCCTAGGCGATAGTGAGACTCCGCCTCAAAAAAAAAAAAAAAAAAGTGGAATGCACAGGATTCCAATTTCTCCACATCTTCACCAACACTTGTTATTTTCTGTTGTTTCTTTAAAAAATAGTAGCCACCCTAATGGGTATTAAGTGGTGTCTTCTTGTGGTTTTAATTTGCATTTCAGTCTCCATTTGACTTAAGCTGGTTTGAGATGAGTTTCTGTTTCTTGTAACTGGCACTAGTTAAGGTAGGCTTAGCAGCTGCGGCACAGTAGCCAACAATAGCAGCTGTGGCTCGTGGAGAAGTTTATTTCTCCTTCTGTAACAGCCCAGGGCGGGTGCACCCAGTCTACGCAGCCCTACTCCCTTAGGGGACCCAGACGGAGGCTGCTTTGCCACCTTGACATAGAGTTTCTGAGCTCTCTCTGCCGGCTGCCACCTGGGTCCCCAAGTGGGAGGATGGAGCACCTGCCAGGATTGATGGGCAAGGGCAGAGCTTTCCCCTTGCATTCCATCAGGGGTAGTTATCTTTTTTTTTTTTTTTGAGACAGAGTCTCCCTCTGTCACCCAGGCTGGAGTGCAGTGGCACAATATTGGCTCACTGCAACCTCTACCTCCCAGATTCAAGCAATTCTCTTGCCTCAGCCTCCTGAGTAGCTGGGACTACAGGCCCGTGTCACCATGTCTAGCTAATTTTTTGTATTTCTAGTTGAGAGGGGGGTTTGCCATGTTGGCCAGGCTGGTCTTGAACTCCTGACCTCAGGTAATCCTTCCGCCTCGGCCTCCCAAAGTGCTGGGATTACAGGCGTGAGCCACCGCACCTGGTCTCAGTTGATATTGCTAAGAACCTTCATAGAGGAGACCAGCCGACACGGGAGCCTATCAGAGGGTGGAAGCTGGGAAGAGGAAGAGGATCAGAAAAAATAACTAATGGGTACTAGACTTAGTACCCAGGTGGTGAAATAATCTGTACAACAAACCCCAACGTCACGGGTCTACCTATATAACAAACCTGCACTTGTACTCGTGAACTTAAAAGTTTTTTTTTTTTTAAAGAGGGCTGGGCATGGTGGCTCACACCTGTAATCCCAGCATTTTGGGAGGCCAAGGCGGGCAGATCATCTGAAGTCAGGAGTTCCAGACCAGCCTGGCCAACATGGTAAAACCCCATCTCTACTAAAAATACAAAAAATTAGCTGGGCGTGGTGGCAGCTGCCTGTAGTCCCAGCTACTTGGGAGGCTGAGGCAGGAGAATCACTTGAACCTGGGAGGTGGAGGCTGCAGTGAGCCGAGATCATGCCACTGCACTCCAGCCTGGGTGACAGAGCAAGACTGTCTCAAAAAAAAAAGGGAAGCCTGTTGCCCAAAAGGGTTGCTGTGGTACCTAAAAATGTAGGTTTTTTCCTTCTGGGAGGGGGTAGAAAGAAGTTGCTCTCACTCTCCAGGCTCACGGCCACCCCGCGCCTGCTCACCAGCCAGCTGGCTGTGGCTAAGCTAAAGCCTGCCCCGTGCCCTGAGCCCGGCATGTTGTTTAACCTCTCTGAAATGGTCTCCTTGGATCGTGGGCAGAGATGGTACGAGGGGATCCCGCCCGAGGGGTCCAGGCCGGTGCTTACAGGCCTGGGACCAGCTGCTCTTATGCTGTTTTCTCTACCTTTCTCAGCCGCTTGGAGGAAGAGGGATTTTTGTTGCCTTTTACAGGTAAGGACACTGAGGTTCACAGGATAAGTCACTTCCAGCCAGGTGTGTGTGACCTCAGATCCATGTTCATAGGGAGGTGAGCTGGGCAGGGCCTCCCACCTGCTCCCCTGGAGGCCCATGAGTCTGGGCATTGGGGCCCCAGTTCCTATAAACCAGGGTTGATTGCAGAGGACTCCCCTCACCTGCACCCCCTACTCCCACCACAAAGCCCAGGCAGCAGGGAGGCCTGGAGACAGGTGCAGAGCCTCTGGGCGTGGGTACCTACCCCTGCCCACCCCCAGGGCCTCAGGCCACAGGAGACCACCTAAAGCAGAAGCTGGGAGTGGGGCCCAGGCTGGGGCTGGCACAGCTGGGCCTGTGAGGGGTGGAGGGGCCGCTGGGGAAGGGACTTACCAGCAGCAGCTCTGCTGGGACCTGGGAGGCTCTCCTCGTTTCCAGTAACAAGCCGGGGGCGGGGTGGGGGTGGGTGGGAGGAGGCGGCTTCCCCCAGGTGCCAGCTGTGCCTGAAGACAGCCTGTCCTCTCCGGTGTCTCCTGTTCTCAGCTCCTTAGTCCCCTCCCCGACCTCACCTCACAGTTGACTCCTGGGCTGACTCCTCCCCTGGCAGGGAAAGAAGAGCCGGGCTCGCCCACACCCGACAGGTGCAGCAGCTGCTTGAGGTCACAGTTGCTGAGAAGGGAAGCCGAGGCCAGTGGCGGCTCCAGCCAGGGATGGTGCAGCCCGCTGAGGGGTTGGGGTTGCCCAATGGCCCGCCCCGCTCCACCTGTCCCCACCCCTCCCACCCAGCCTGGCCACCAGCCCAGACACCTTCCTCACATGGCCTGAAGACCCCTGCTGACCTGTGGCACCATGTGGCCCAGCAGGGTGGCCGGGCCGGCCAGGCTCGTGGGGTAGGGGACGCTGCTCCCCACCTGCCCTGGGGTGGTGGGTGCCACTGGGGAGGCCTCTCCCTAGGGGCATCTCCCAGGTGGGCAGACCAGAAACTTACCCCGAGTTCTGTGACCCACTCTGGGGAGTGGGGCATCTCATCTCCTCTCAGCCACTTCTGAAAGCTGGGACATGGCAGAGTGGGCAGGGCTGCCCTCTGAGCTGACACCCTTCCCCTTCTCCCCATCTTGTCTCTCCTCAGATCTAGGGCTCACTCTGAGGCGTGGGTGATACTTGCTCCCCAACCCCAGCCTCTTCAGTGCAGGGAGGCAGGGCCTGAACTTCGGAGGGTCTTGGGGCAGGTTCCTGGGGCTTGCAGGGCGGCCTCCCCTTTCCCAGGGAAAGGAAGGGAGAAGCCGTGTCTGGGGAGGGAAGCCTCTACCTCCACCCTCACTGTGCCCAGAGCTGCATCCCCAACCTGGCCTGGGGAGACTGGCACCAGGTGGAGCTGGTCCCCAAGGAGCCCCAACCCCCAGAACATCTGCAGAGGTCAGCTCTCAGGGGGCCCCAGGGCCAGTCCTCTCTGCACCCCACCTTCCCTGCTCAATGTGGCTTGTAGGTGGTTATGCAAAGCATATGCAAAGCACATGCAAATGAGGCCCAGCCACAACCGGTCACTCTCTCCAGGTGAGACTACTGAAGCCCTCTGGTCATCAGCAGGAATGCAGGGGTGCCTATGGCAGGCCGGACTCCAGGTCAGGCCTTGGGGCAGTGAGGAAGAAGGTGCAAGTCAGGTAAGCTATAGTCAAAAGGGAGGGGCACACCAACACCAGGCGAATGAGTGAAGCAAGTTAGTGGCACTTCTACCCGCCCTACAACCCAACACGACAGACCCGTGCAGATAGACGCATGTGTGCTCTGAGAGATGGCTGTGTAAAAGCAAGCTTGCTCCTTCAGTCTTCCGTTCATTCACTTATTCAGCAAAGCTCGGTGTATGAGCCAGGGGTGTTCCAGGGGCTGCAGATATCCCAGCAGATGAAAATGCCTACCTTGCAGGGCTCCAGCCCAGCAGGGAGAGAAAAATACAGGTGACAAGTCAGGGAGAGCGAGGACGCACCGGTGTGTGTTTCAGAAACCGTAAGGAGGCTGGAGCCAGGCACAGGGAGCTCTGGACCTTGGGAAGAGTATGGTCTGTGCAGGGGCCATGTAGTGGGAGGGGGCCCTGCAGCGTCACCCAGGTGGGGAGGTTGTGGTGGGAGCAGACAGCACAGAGTGGAACTAAGTCCCCTGGGCAGGAGATGCCGGGGACTGCGGCCGGGGGTGGCAGTGGAAGGGCTGAGAAGTGGTCGGATTCTGGGTTAGGAAGAGAAAGCTTCCCTTTGCCCTCTGAAACTTAGCTGAAAAATCAGCGGACAAAAGGCAGATTCATAAGAGAAAAGGCTCACAAAATGTACTCTAACTGCACAGCGCAGGAGTCCCCGGGCAGTGATTACCCAGTAACCCAGAGGGGTCCAGAACCTGCCACATCCTTCTTCGTGGGGGAAGAGGTGGTGGAGAAACCACCTCTTTGAGGCGTAGTCAGTGATTCTTTGGAGAAAATGAAATGAAGAGGCCCCTTGTTCGGACAATGGTTAGTGAATAATTCTCTTTGGGAGTTGAATGGGACTGAAGAACAGACAATGGTTTGGGAGGAAGTTCCTCTGGGCTCTAGGTTTGGTGTTTTATTTCAGCCTCTTCCTTTGTGATGTGAGTTTTAATCTTCTCCGGTTAATAACGTTTCAGGGAAGGCCATTGTGTTCCCCTTGGCAGGTCTGGTTTCCAGGTAGTTGAGGAAAGTCTGAGAACAGCCTCATCCTGTGCTTTGGAGAGACGCGGGACTGGGGGAACGTCAGAGAGACCTTGGGGCCCCTTCTCGTCAAGATGCCATATTTTCTGAGCCCCAACAGTATATTTTGGGAATGCTGTTATATTTCCATCTAATTTGCATTAAGGAGAAACTGTATGTGTTTTGGTGCATGGGTACCTGTGGTGGGGAGGCTGGGGGTGGGGATGGAGCAGGGCAGGGCATCTCCAGGTGCTCTGCAGACTGTGGGGGCGGGCGGCTGTGTTGTTCTCCTTCAGGGCAATCCCCCAAAACCCACCATCCAAACTCAGCGAAACCACAAGGTGGGGCTGTGATGAGGCCTAGAGGTTTATGGAACAATCATGGGTACGGTGCCACTTGTGGGGTTCCCTGGAGTTTGCCTCTCCTCACTGCCTCCTGTTCTTACTGGTTTTCTGGTGGGGGAGGAAGGGGCAAAGCCACTCCTCTTTGAAGGTGAATTTATTTTTTTTTGGCAGCAGCTGAAAGCCATTTGCTACTAGGCCTCGTGAGTAAGTGGGCGATCAAAACTGGATCATGCAGTTTTTACTCCAATTAACAAGCCCTGGCTCCTTAAGACTTGAGGCTGGTTTTCACTCTCGGGTACCTGGGGCGCTGGTTGGGAAGCCAGGCCTTCTGCAAAGTTTTTAAGGACAGAAGGTGTAGCCTCCCAAGTTAGCACACTCTGGAGCCCTGAACGCAGTTGCCCTCTGCAGACCTCGTCAGGGCCTCACCCTGCAGCCCAGGGGAAGGGACTGAGGGCTCCAAAGCTCTCGCAGGTCTCTGGCTGTGTGGCCCAGGACCAGCTCCTTCTACTCTCCTGTTGTGAGTCAGCAGCACCATGCTCCACTTAGCAGCATAGTGTGAGGCTGACATGCAAGTGGGTGTGAATCCTGGTCAGCGCCACTCATTGTGCCTTTGCACTTCAATGGTCCGTGCCAAGGCTGTGGCAGCAGCTCCTGAGCCCCCCCGCCGGAACCTCACCTAAAGCCTTAGGGACAAATTCAGCCACCTGAGACCAACAGCGCCCTGCCTGGTCAGCTCTAAGCCTCCGAATGAATCCCAGCCATTCTTCACTGTAAGAGTTTAGTTGTGGCTGGGCGTGGTGGTGCACAACTGTAGGTGGCCACAAACTGTAGTCCCCAGCTACCTTGGGAGGCTGAGGTGAGCGAGTCACGTGAACCCAGGAGGTTTTTTTTTTTTTTTTTTTTTGAGACGGAGTCTCACTCTGTCCCCAGGCTGGAGTGCAGGTGCCGGATCTCAGCTCAGTGCAAGCTCCGCCTCCCGGGTTCACGCCATTCCTCCTGCCTCAGCCTCCCGAGTAGCTGGGAACTACAGGCGCCCGCCACCTCGCTCGCTAGTTTTTGTATTTTTATGTAGAGACGGGGTTTCACCATGTTAGCCAGGATGTCTCGATCCTCCTGACCTCGTGATCCGCCCATCTCGGCCTCCCAAAGTGCTGGATTACAGGCTTGAGCCACCGCGCCCGCCGAACCCAGGAGGTTGACATGGCAGTGAAACCATGACTGCCACCACTGTACTGTAGCCTGGCTGACAGAGCGAGTGAGACCTTGGTCTCAAAGAAAAAAAAAAAGGACCGCTCACTGCGCGCTGTACTCCAGCCTGCGACAGAGCGAGACTCCGTCTCAAAAAAAAAAAAGTGTTTCACTGATGGCTTGGAGGTCCATCCTTGTGTCTTCAGGTCAGCCTATGGTGCCAAATTTTAGTGAAACAAACAAGCCAAACAAACACAAAACCAAGACACCTAGTTAAATTTGAATTTCAGAGAAACAACAAATATCTATCTATCTATCTATCTATCTATATATATATATATTTTTTTTTTTTTTTGAGATGGAGTCCTTGCTCTGTTGCCAGGCTGTAGTGGCGGTGGTGCGGTCTTGGCTCACTGCAGCCTCCGTCTCCTGGGTTCAAGTAATTCTCCTGCCTCAGCCTCCCAAGTAGTTGGATTACAGGCACGTGCCACCATACCCAGCAAATTTTTGTATTTTTAGTAGAGAGGGATTTCACCATGCTGGCCAGCTGGTCTTGAACTCCTGACCTTGTGATCCACCTGCCTCAGTCTCCCAAAGTGTTAGGATTACAGGTGTGAGCCCCTGCCACCCAGCCCAACAAATACATTTTTAGCGTTGTAGTATCCCATGCAATATAAGAGAGATACTTACTCTAAAAAATGTATTTGGCTGGGCGTGGAGCTCACGCCTGTAACCCAGCACTTCGGAGGCCGGGGTGGGTGGATCACTTGAGGTCAGGAGTTCAAGACCAGCCTGGCCATATGGCAAAAACCCATCTCTACTAATACAAAAATTAGCTGGGCGTGGTGGCGAGCACCTGTAATCCCAGCTCCTGGAGGGCTGAGGCACGAGAATCGTTTGAACCCAGGAGGTGGAGGTTGCAGTGAGCCAAGGTCGTGTCGCTGCACTCTAGCCTGAGTGACGGAGGTGAGACTGTGCCTCAAAAAAAAAAAAAAAATGGTATTTGTTGTTCTTCTGAAATTCAAATTTAACTGAGCATCCTGTATTTTTATCTGGCAATCCTAGTCCCAGCCTCTTCCAAATTCAGATCTTTTTTTTTTTTTTTTTTTGAGCCGGAGTTTCACTCTTATCACCCAGACTGGATTGCAGTGGTGCAATCCCAGCTCACAGCCCCTCTGTCTCTTGGGGTCAAACAAGTTCTCCTGCCTCAGCCTCCTGAGTAGCTCCTGTGCACCACCATACCCGGCTAATTTTTGTACTTTTAGTAGAGACGAGGTTTCCACCATGTGGCTGGGCTGGTCTCAACTCCTGACCTCTCAGGTGATCCACCTGCCTCGTGCCTCCAACAAATGCCTAGGATTACGGCATAGCACACTGCCGCCGCCCTCCAAATGCACATCTATAAGAACGATTTTCCTGCCCCAACCATACATGTCTCACAGATAAAGCTGCATTTTTATCATTTCGTCTTTCCTGGGGCTGAAATGGCTTCTTCTTTTTGCATTTTATAGTTTTACAATTGCAGCAGTGAAAAGTTCTTGCTGGCAAGATGATTGAAAATTTAACTACAAAGGGCATCATTCATTTTATTTGTGTCTTCGTTGGAAAAATTTAACTACAAAGAGCATCATTCATTTTATTTGTGTCTTCATTGGAGACATAAAATGGATTTGCAATCATCCCAACGCAGTTGTCGAGTATTGTGGGTTTTAGAGTAGCTCGCACAGCGCCTTTACACTCACCAGTGTGAGGTCTCTTTGCAGCCGCCAATGGAGTGATCCTTTGAGTTTTGGAAGCAGCAGTAACATTTATTCCTAATAATCCTGCTGCAGTGGGTTCTTGGTATTTTATAGTTGTTATTGCAGTAAAATTTATATCTTACAGAATTATGACAATATTCAGCTACTAATATGATTATTATTTCTGTGTGTGTGTTAAAACCACGGAAATAAAATTTACTCCCAACAATACAGTGGCAATTTTATGTCCCTAAAACTGACCGTAAATAATAAACATAATTACAGAATGCCTGTAAACACATAAAACATCCTTCTCGGAAACAGTGAACTCTCCATTGCTATCCTGATGAGACCAGCAACTGGGGAGCCCAGTCTAGCAGTTAGGGCTGCTGGGCAGACTTCAAAAGGATGAAGCAACTTCTTCACGTGCCTCCTGGAGAGCAAGTTACTTCACATTTCAGAGCCCAAGTCAGCCCAGCTCAGAGAACACGGGCTGGTCCCTTGCCTCATGAGTGCACGGACACAATTGCGTCGGAAACCGCGATACTGTAGAACAATTGCCTTAGCCTGTAAAGAGAATGCAGTCCTCATAACACACTGCAACTCGGATTGAGCCCTTTGGAGACTTACGCTCCGCCTGAAAGAAACCAGATACAACCTGGGCACAGTGGCCTCACTCCTGTAGATTCCAGCCACTT